GAATTACAGGACCTGCAGCCAGATGTATAAAAAATGGCACCGTGAAACTGCAGTCAAGTATGGCTGTGTAGGTTTATTCGGTCTGAGAGCCTGGCATTGCCTGGTTAGACTGAAATAATGGGGATAAAGTTAACATCTCTTCCGCCACATCTCTCTGTGCATTTAAATGGCAAAGCATATGTTTCTCAAGCATGGGACCCCAGTTTAATCCCTGACATTTCTAATTAAAATAGTAAGTAAACTTGACTTCAGTTGAGTGACTAGAACCTACATCTGGAATTGTTTGAATTGGAATCCCAGATTCCTGGAGAAAGTCTTGTATTCACTTCGGTCACAGTGTGAAATAAGGAGAGGATTAGTTTTTACCTATCCAGCAACAACCTTGACAAAATTGGTCTCACTGTACTGCAATGAGTGTCATTCCCTTGGTACCAAAGTATTTTTCTTCATACCAGCATGCTCTCCTGTCCTTCATTTCCTTGAAATTGTGACTGGGGAAAGAATCTAAAAATCCTTCAACCTACACACTGTGGTCTTGAGAAAAATCACATTCCTTCGGCACCAGGAATTACATTAAAGACAATACCTCCAGGCATGGCTACTAGCTGTGCAGTTTTAAATATGTGTAGTTTGACCCTTTATTAGCAAGGTCTTAGGCAAACCTTGGGAAAAAAATCTTGTGAATTACAGCTCCCTGAAGTCCCAACTCAAAGTAATTTTTTTCATTCTCTACAAAGACCTTGGAGAGCTGCAACTGGCCAGCCCTAGTTGAGATCAGAAAATTTTCTGATTTAGTAATACGCTGCTTCAAGTATTCATTTTCGTTTTTCACTTCTTGTATTTTGCATTAGTTGTGAGAAAATTGGAGGAAATGAGAGTTTTGTTATAATAGTATTATAAGCCTATGTATACAATCCTCCTCCGCCTCCAAATCTTGTGGGGGCACATATTGATTGAAAACATCCCCTCTATTTCTTGTGTCTGACAGCTTTGCTGATAAAATGACCCCTCCTTGCTTGTAGAGATTGCTTGTATACCTTATACTATATCTGGTTGTGGTTGTTTGCAACATGGGTTTTGTAGCGGCAATAGAAAGCCATTATGATGTCAGAGCAACAAAACGCATCATTGTTGACCATGCAGTTCAGCACCACGGACAAGTGCCCATAGTTTGATGTGGAGAGACCCATTCCTGAGAAGGTGTTGTGTGCTTCATGCTAGACCAATGGTTCCCAATCTTTTTTTTACCTGTGACCACTTAACCCGCGACCACTTTGACCATGGACCACTTTGGCCATTAGTACTAAAAGGGTTACGAATCCATTTTTAGTCAATTTTAGATTTGGTTTGGTTATTTGGGGTGCTGATTCAGAAAATTGCATTGGATAGACCACATCAGCTCTAGTTTCTGATACAGAACATATGCCATCTAATAGTTTCCATCTGCTTGCCCACAGAAAACAATATTTAGTAAGCCTTGGCACTATAAGAGGGTTTCACGAGACCAGTCACTCTCATTGCAACGATGAAGTAATGGTGAGGCCATGGACCATATTTTAATTTTTGCGGACCACAGGACCACTGTGCTAGACAGTGGGAGCATTGCCAGTACCTTGAAAATGTTGCAACATTCGCAACCATCATGTTGTCTTTTTTGGAGCAAGACAGATTGTTGCCCATTAGCTCTGCCATGTCACTTATTGCAGGAGTTATATCCTTTTCGAATGTAACATGTGCTTGAAAAACACTGGGCGAGGTTGGTTTTGTGAAAAGATGTAGATGTTGATATCAAGCAGAGAGAGCCAGTGTGGTGTAATGGTTTGACTACAATTCTGGAAAATATGATTTAAATCTCTGTTCAGCCATGAAAACCGACTGGGTGATCCTGGGCAAGTTACACTCTCTCAGCCCCAGAAAACCCTGTGATAGGTTCCCTTTCAGGTTGCCATAAATCAAAAACAACTTGATGTCACCCAACAACAATAGTACCAAGTCGAATTGAGTATCATGAATCTATATTGCTGGTCCAGAACACATTTCCTCAGCCGATTCCTATCTAGATATATGGTCAGTGGACAGTACTTTTGTATGTGAGATTTCAATAAGTCAAATTATTACCGTCCTTCTTTGTCTTTTCTTATTTCCATGAAAAGGAGGAATGAGATTCTGTCCTCTGAATTTTTGTTTGAGCACTTGCTTTAAAATATATGTGGATTGAACCAGATGTGCAGACATTTTCTCAGTGTGAGGCAAGCAGCACCTTGTGGAGCTTGCGGAGGAAGAGGATATGGAAACCAGAATGTGATAACACTGATAACACATGCATATATTCCTGTACAAGGTCACATTGGAGCTATGGTTTTGTCTCTTTTTGGCAGCTATAGTAAACAAGCAGCTACCAAAAGAGAATTGCCTTTTTTATTTGCTGCCATTCTGAAATTTTAAATTGTCTGCATGTTGCAGTTTGTTTTATTGTTTAGCCCATTGAGGGTGATCAAGATAGTGATCCCTTTGCTTTATGATAGTTCAACGTACTCAGATTCTGTTCCAAGCACAACATTATTTAAAATACTGTGTATAAGATTACCTTCAAGCTATACGTTTATCATGTGTATGAAACGGAACTAAATTTTGTGTTTAGACTTCAATCCCACATCCAAAATATTTCATTAGGTATGCATGTGCAAATACAGGCATTCCAAAATTTAATAAAACACTTCTGGTCTCAAGAATTTGGATAAGGGATAGTCCATCTATAATGGGTTTGGCTATAGTGAATTTTATGGACTTTTTTCTGATGGGATCTGCCAACCAGTGCAGACTCCTGGATTAAATCTGTGTTCTGGAAATGAGATTCACGGAGTTGCAGTAAAACACACTCACACACACATTTTGAAGCTCATCATAAAGGTGTAGAAGCAATGCAAGCATCAGTATAGATGTAAAAGCTTCCTGTAACACTGGTGTAGACTCTTCCCATGCAGGTTTCCAAGTGAGCAGCTGTATATTAACTACTTCAAACTTTTCTACTTGTTGTGTGCAGAAATCAATAGCATTAGGGAACTTGCTTTATCCTTGAACACTTGTGAGCCTTGCAGGTTCTCCATTCCTGGTCCTCATGGCTTTTTCTTTTTATCTTACCCCTTGATCTCCCTGATCTCCCCAGTGGTTCCCAACCTTTTTTTGACCAGGGATCACTTTGATTTTTTGTTGTTGTTAGCAAGGACCACAAGGTTCAAGAATAATAAACTGTGTTATTCTAAAAATAAACTTTAATCAAAGCTTTTAACATATTCATTAAACTTAATAGTAACATTAATTAAGAGTACTATTATAATATGAAAAAGAATATTTTTAATAGAAATTAAATTTGGTTTGCAACAATGTGATTTTTGAGCTTTTTTACAAGTTGAGTAATCCTGGGGCTAATGCAATTGCTCAATGATACACACATATCATCACTTATTTTCAATCGATTCCTGGCTTGTTTTTAATGACCAGCAAAGCAGAAAACCCTTGTTCACACAAATACTGTATATACTTGAGTATAAGACTAGTTTTTCAGCCCATTTTTTAGGCTGAAAATGTCCCCCTTGGCTTATAATCAAGTCAAGATTATTTATTATTTTACTCTGTTGTTATTATTTTACTATTTATTATTGACTATTTACTATTTATTATTTTACTCTGTTTCTATTTTCTCAGCCTGAGGGCCAAGAAAAGCGGTATACAAATAAAGTAAATAAATAAATAATAATAATAATAATAATAATTATTTTCATTTCATTTATTATTTTATTCTATTTATTATTATTATATTTATCATTTTACTCTATGATTATACATTTATTATTTTACTGTATAATTGTTGTTATTGCTACATTCATTATTTTACTCTTTTTATTATTATTGTTATTATTACATTTGTTATGTTGCTCTCTTTACTATTATCGGAAGGATACATGAGCACATTTACATTGAAGAAGGTAAATAATCATTTAATCAGAGTTGGACAGAAATTACCATTTTTGTAAATATTCAAAAAAATATAACCTACTGATTCCTCAATTTTAATGTAATTTAATTAGTATCTATTTTTATTTTGCAATTTACCAGTAGCTGCTGTATTTCCCACCCTCAGCTTATACTCGAGTCAATCCGTTTTCTCAGTTTTTTGTAGTAAAATTAGGTGCCTTGGCTTATATTCAGGTCGGCTTATACTCAAGTACATATGGTAAGTTGTGGAGAAGAGCAAAATTCCTCAAATTTTAGTATAAAAATTTTCTTTTTTACACCAAAACTCATCAAGAGAATCAGATTCAAACACATCCTTGAAGTTTCTATCATTGCGAAATCCAATGAGCTCTTCCTGGATTTCTTTTACAACTTCTCCATCATTATTAAATAAGTCAAAAATTACTATGAATATTGAGGATTCACTGTCAGTAAAACTACTAAAGCTGTCAAATCACTAAACAGCAAAACAGAATCACTAACACAGCCGAGCAAGACAAAAGAATGGGTGTGATTGACTGACGTTGGTGTGAATACATGACAGGTGACTTTGATCGCTTGACCTCCCTCCGGCCTCCCACGCTCGCCCGACATCTGATTCGCTGCCCAAGCAACAGATTCATTAAAAAATTTAAATTAATTTAAAATGAATAAAAGTTTTAAATTTTAGTTATTGTGGACCACTGATGGTCTGTGGACCACTGGTTGGGAACCACTGCTATAAATCTAGGTGCGAATCCCAGAAATACAAACCAGTGTGCCTATTTTTTCTGCTCAGCTCTCATGGTTTCTTCTGAGAGTCATGAAAGAGTAACTTTAGAACTGCAACCCACCTTTTGGGAATAAATGTCAACTATCAGACTGCAAGATAGAGTTTTCCATGTTGCATATTTATTCTGCGCAACTTGAATTATAGTGCCTCTAATGGATCTCCTATCTCTTTTGTGTAACATGATGCTAAAGATGTGTCCCTTTTCGATTTCCAGGCGCCCGTGTCAATGCCAAGGACAATATGTGGCTGACCCCTCTCCATCGCGCAGTGGCTTCAAGGAGTGAAGTGAGTAATGTATCAAGGCATCGCACAGCCCATATTTCATGCATTTCACTAGCAAAGTTTTGAAAATTGGTTTCTGGACAGTGAAGGTGAAATTTGTTGAGCTCATAGGTTAGATCTGTGTTCTTGAAATGTCATTCATCCTTTCCCTTTCCAGCTTTTTAAAAAATGTCTAGAAAACATTTCAAAACACAAACTGTCTCCACCTCCGTGATTGGCTAGGCTGATTTATTTTAAGAAGGAAAAGAAGATGTATCCTGGTACCTTTCTGGATGTTTCAGAATAAATCAAGAAGGATTTCTGATTCCCAGTTGTTTAACAATAGTAGCATGAAAAGTCTCATATGCATGTTACATTGTTGAAAATGAAGGTTTTTATACGGAAGGAAGGGCTATGGTTATCATTCGTATCTGGCACCCAAAGATTATCCCTGAGCTCAGAATCCTATAATTCTATTTACAGTTGGCTCTCTATATCCATAGATTTTGCACCTACCCAAAGCTTGAAAATATTTGTTAAAAATTCAAAAAGGAAACCTTGATTTTATCATCGTCTGTAAGGGACCCAAATTTGCTATGCTATTGTATGTAATGAGATTCAGACATTCACAGATATTGGTATTGATGGCAGAGGGGTCCAGGAACCAAACCCCAGCAGATATTTATTTATTTATTTATCATTACATACATTTCTATCCCGCCCTTCTCCCAACAAGGGGACTCAGGGCAGCCTTACATGAGCATCCAGTGATGCAGTCCCCATATATACCAATAAAATTACAATTAAAACAATGCAATCCATTTAAAACATTATCCAGATTCAACAGTAAATTCATTAATAATAAATTAGCGTGCCAATACACCAAAGCCAAGCCGGGAGAGTCCAATATCGGGATGTCCAAAAGTTTTTCTTTCATATTGCCTAGTCAAATACCTGGTTCCAGAGTCAGGTCTTCAGTTGTCTTCTAAAGGACAGGTGGCCAACCTGATGTCCATAGGGAGGGAGTTCCACAGATGCGGGGCCACTGCCAAAAAGGCCCTGTCTCTCATCCCCACCAACCACGTTTGCAAAGGTGGTGGGATCGAGAGCAGGACCTCTCCTGATGATCTTAAGCTTTGTGATGGTTCATAGCAGGAGATACTAAGGTTCTACTGTAAATATATTACTTATCCACCAATCAGAAGTTGGCAAAACATAAGGTTTAATAAGATATCCTTAAACAACCTGTATCTCTGTCTGGATTGTCAATCATTTTTGTACAGATGTGTGTACAAAATGTGTGATGGTCACAGACGCAGGCAAAAACCTGGAAATGTACTTTTTCATACTATAATTCCCCAAACACCCCAATCAGCATGGCTAGGTCCATTTCTACATTGCCATATAATCTAGATTATCAAAGCAGATAACCTACATTATCTGCTCTGAACCGGATTATATGATTCCACACTGCCATATAATCCAGTTCAAAGCAGATAATCTGGATTTTATATGACAGTGTAGGAGGAACCATTTGTTCTTAAAGTTGTCATCCAAAACACACTAGTAACATTCCCAAGCTCTTTTAGTAGGATACTGTCTTCAATTAAGTCACGCAAGGTCCAAGAATGTTCTGTATGCAAGCTTATTTTGGTGTATATGGTAAGCTTTTCTATTTTTGTTAGTGAGACTAGTATTCATTGCATTGCTTTTTCTGATCTTTTGATCAGCCCTAACTGCAGTACATCTCATTTTGCCTTGCAAAGTACGTAGTGTGAGATCAAGTTTTATCAAGCCCTTTTGTTTGGTTTGGTATTGTGATATGGCTTAAGGGCTAATCCGTTTTGTTATGTCCATTCGAATGGCACGAAACGGCAAGGCCCCTCCTGGAACGAAAATAAACTTGATACGAAAAGACGGAAGTGGGTACTGGCTTTTTGGATCAATTGCCTGCTTTTTGGATCAATTGCCATGCACTTAGGCCCAAAGTGCCCGGGCCTGGCAGGGCCTGCAGCCGAGCACCTGGGCCTATGGGTACAGGCTTTGGGCATACATGCCCAGGCCTGGCAGGGCCTGCAATCAAGTGCCTAGTAAGGAGCTCTCCTTACTCAGCACTCAGCTGCAGGCCCTGTGAGGCCCAGGCACGCAGACCCAAAGTGGCAGGGTGCCTGCAGCCGAGCATCGAGTAAGGAGCACTCCTTACTTGGCACTTGGCTGCAGGCCTAGGTGTGTAGGCCCAAAACGTACACCCATAGGCCCGGGCGCTTTGGGCCTATGGGTAAAGTCCCCCCTCCAATAATGGGCCGAAAGAAAACGGATCTTTAGGCACTGAAAACTGAAAACAAATATTTGACCTCTGGAGCCACGCAGGCAGCATCAGGCCAGGGAGGCAGGCCTTCCCCACCGTACCTCAGGCTGCCGCACTTCCTGGATCCCTGGCCTCCACTGGACATAAATATTTGATATTTTTAATTAATATTTTCAAAAACCCACGAAACAGTGAATCTGCTAAAAGTGAACCGCAAAGTAGCGAGGGAACACTGTATATATGTTTTCAGATGCCTTTGGAAAAGTTATTTTTTGAATGACTAGCCTAAGGAGATGTAATTCCCCAGCTGTTTCTTCCTCTCTTTGGAGAACAGAGCTGTCTGTGCTTCATTAGCATTTGATACGTCTCTTAAAGTAGTCTCCTGCTCTCAGTTGAGTTAGAAAATGACTGTCATCTTCCCAGTGCTGCTTATCCTTCTGGTCTTTCTATATTGAATGAGAGGCAGCTCTGTCTTGTTTGCTTCAAAGGTAGCCAAATATCTTGGTCTAACCTTGCGCACAGATGTCAACGTTGACCCCATGGATCAGTTTTACTCTGCTGATCCACTTGTAGAAGTATGTGAAGGCACTTAATTTATGCTGAAAGAAATAAAGCAGTGGGTTAAATTACAAAGCTGCAGAACTTGTTGACTGAAAAGTTGGTGGTTTGAATCCATGGGATGGGGTGAGCTCCTGCTGTTAGCCCCAGCTTCTGCAAACCTAGCAGTTTGATAACATGCAAATGTGAGTAGATCAATAGATACTTCTTTGGTGGGAAGGTAACAGCACTCCATACCAGGGGTCCTCAAACTTTTTAAACAGAGGACCAGGTCACAGTCCCTCAAACTGTTGGAGGGCCGGATTATAATTTGAAAAAAAAATTAATCGATTCCTATGCACACTGCGCATATCTTATTTGTAGTGCAAAAAACACGTAAAACAATGCAATAATTAAAATGGAGAACAATTTCAACAAATATAAACTTATTAGCATTTAAGTGGGAAGTGTGGGCCTACTTTTGGCTGATGAGATACAATTGTTATTGTTGTTGTTGTTTTGTGCTTTCAAGTCATTTCAGACTTATGTTGATCCTAAGCGAGGGCTGGGTAAATGACCTTGGAGGGCTATATCCGGCCCTCGGGCCTTAGTTTGAGGTCCCTGCTCCATACAGTCATGCTGGCCACATGACCTAGGACGCGTCTACGGACAATGTGGGTCTTCAGCTTTGAAATGGAGATGAGCAACACCCCCCAGGGTTTGACTTGACTACACTTAATGTCAAGGAGAAACTTTTATCTTTATGTGATTCCAAAGGAACTAGTTAGCATTAATGTTCCATGTACCAGTTCCTTACAGGGACTAATATACCACTTCTTTACAGAGTTTTGTCCCATGACAGAGGCCCATGGTAATTGAGCTCAAAAGCCCACAAAAACAGAAGCCCTCTTTTTATAGGGAACAATGAGTTTCTATAATCATGGCAATAGGAAAAAAAGTGATATAAATATCTTCCAACCTTCCTTGTCTCTGGAACAGAAGAATCGATGCTTTCTTTGGATGCTTCTATCTATTTCATTAATCATTATTTAATTATGGGCTTGAACTGTAAACATATTGCTCATATTTACTCTTCTGAGCTAGACCTCTTGGGCAACTGCATATCATTGAATATAAATAGAATTTGTCACGTACAATATAGTTCTTTTTTCATATTAGCTGATAAGGCATCCAAAGGTAATCTTCGTAGGAAGGAAGAGTGTAGGTTTTGTTGAAAACAGTTTTATTTTTAACTGAGCAGGAATGATCATCCGCTGCTGCCTTCCAGCATCCTGGCACAGGACCTTCCCTTAATGTGATTCTTGATTTGTAGCGTAGCAGAAAGCAGTTCACGGCAGATAATAAGACACTGGAATAACCTTGACAGAAATGGGACATTCCCTAGAGATCTGCTGACTTAGGTTGCAAACCTCTGCACAGTTAGGTTGGAGGCAGGCAACTGCTTCTCACAGAGGGCTGGCTTTTGTATCTAAATGCACATTTCCCCCCTCTTTCCCCCCATGCCTTCTCATCTCCCTGCTTTTGGGAGCAATTTGAAATTCTGTGAAGCCCTGCTCGACAAGGATGGTACAAAGATAAAGATGCATAGAGTTGATCCTATCATTAGATAGTATAAGATAGTATCCAGGAAGAGCGTGGATAAGCTCCCTCTGTCAGCTCCAGCTCCGCATGCGGGGACATGAGAGAAGCCTCCCACAAGGATGGTAAAACATCCAGGTGTCTCCTGGGCAACGTCCTTGCAGACGGCCAATTATCTCACACCAGAAGCGACTTGCAGTTTCTCAAGTTGCTCCTGACACGAAAAAAATAGTATATGATAGGTGCCAGGGACAGGGCCGTAGCCAGAAAAAAATTTCGGGGAGGGTTGAAAATTTCGGGGGGGGGGGGGTTGAAACCTGCCTCCTAGCTCACGCTGAAGCAAAGAGCACAGCAGGGGGCAGAGCAGCCTTCAATAGCCTGCAGCTCCGCCCCTGTCAACCACCTCCACCAAGTCTGGCCTCCTTAATGAGAGCATTCAACACCCCACCCCCCAACTTGGTTGCTTCACTACATCGGCTATTCCTGCAAGTAATGACAGTGTGAATAAATTGTCAATATTTGCTTGAGATAGTGCTTGCAGTTCTGGAGGGACTCTTAATTTTTTGCATCTCATAGACTT